AACACAACACAGCGAATAAAGCCTTTGAAATCCTAATCGCAAGAGACAATTCTGGGTTAGTTTGCCCAGTCCAAACACTACTTGATTACTGTGGCATGAGAGGCGCTGCTCCTGGTCCTCTATTTTGTGAAAGTGATCTGCGCCCGGTCACCATCAGCTCGTTCAATACTGCATTAAAACGTTGCCTTGTTTTTTGTGGTTTAGACACGAGCCGTTACAAAGGCCATAGTTTCCGCATTGGAGCCGCAACTCACGCTTCCGAGCAAGGTTTCTCTGATTCCCAAATTCGCAGACTTGGTCGCTGGCAATCTGATGCGTTTAAATCGTACCTCCGTTCAGGTGCTTTGTCGGCTAATGCCCAAAACGATTTAAGCTGCTAATTTTGACGTCCCTGATCTAGTTCAGTGAAGGGCTGCTATTTCATGGGCACGCGAATTTATCCTTTCTAAACCCTTTAGAATAGTTCAGTCATGGGCTGCTATTCTTGCTAGATTAGGGCTATCAATCATTTGCTTAAGGCGTAGTGTTAACTGTACACAGTATTAAGCCACACGTTGCAAGGCAAAGGTTTGTTCAGACATGGGCTGCGGACTAACTGTCTTGTTCACGGGTGGCTAAACTATCCGCGCTTCGATCTAAGTTAACGTTACGATTTTACAAAGCATAGGTCTGTTCAGACATGGGCTGCAGGCCGCTGCTTTTCTATACGATAGTCCTATTTGTACATGTCGTTCAAGCATGGGCTGCGACGTCCTTTTGCATTTATTTGCCAGTAATCGCTTTTCGCGTGATCTGTTTGTTTGCCGGTGGGGTGGCCACAGGTTTGTGGCGGGTTTTTCCCCCACCTTTGATGTTTGAGATCTAACAAGTTACAGTTTCTGTTTATTCAATGTTTATCATTTATTAAACCGTCACGCTGGTGGCATATTTACTCCAAATCCTAATAGTTGTCATCTCTCTGCGCATCAAACTAGGCGCCAACAAACAGATCACGCAATTAGCTTTGTACACGATGATTGGCCCTAAACAAAAAACACCCATTAAGCTAATGGCTTAATGACATTTTTGTGAAGGGCTAATTTCCTGGTTGTTTGTCTTATCTGCATCTGGGATGGAGATAGGGAAATAGTTAGAATTCCTTGCGGGCTCAAATCATGCAATCAATGCTTTGTGATTCATTGTTGGTTCAGATAGCAACGCAGGAACATCGTCAGTCTTTGACTCAATTTTCCCTCCGCCTTCCCCGGTACTCCATCCCGGCTGTTTTTTGGGTCATTTCGTAATGATGTTTTGGCGGGTTTTTCCCCCACCTTTGATGTTTGAGATCTAACAAGTTACAGTTTCTGTATATTCAATGTTTATCATTTATTAAACCGTCACGCTGGTGGCATATTTACTCCAAATCCTAGTAGTTGTCATCTCTCTACGCATCAAACTAGGCGCCAACAAACAGATCACGCAATTAGCTTTGTACACGATGATTGGCCCTAAACAAAAAACACCCATTAAGCTAATGGCTTAATGACATTTTTGTGAAGGGCTAATTTCCTGGTTGTTTGTCTGATCTGCATCTGGGATGGAGATAGGGAAATAGTTAGAATTCCTTGCGGGCTCAAATCATGCAATCAATGCTTTGTGATTCATTGTTGGTTCAGATAGCAACGCAGGAACATCGTCAGTCTTTGACTCAATTTTCCCTCCGCCTTCCCCGGTACTCCATCCCGGCTGTTTTTTGGGTCATTTCGTAATGATGTTTTGGCGGGTTTTTCCCCCACCTTTGATGTTTGAGATCTAACAAGTTACAGTTTCTGTATATTCAATGTTTATCATTTATTAAACCGTCACGCTGGTGGCATATTTACTCCAAATCCTAGTAGTTGTCATCTCTCTGCGCATCAAACTAGGCGCCAACAAACAGATCACGCAATTAGCTTTGTACACGATGATTGGCCCTAAACAAAAATAAAGTTATTTAGGAAAAGTAGGTTGAAATCCACCCAGCGATATATATGGCCGGAAACAGAATTTAAGATGCTTGAAACTTAAAAATGAAAATCAAATTTCAAGACTAGAATCGCTACGTGGGATCCTCGCCCTATTATTCATATTTTACTTCTGCTTTCATAATTATCTTTAATTTGAATGAAAATGAAAAAGGATATTGATACTTAATGTTCAATTTCACTCCAACATGTCTGGTAGTGAAACAATCTGTAATAAAGGCAGCTTTTCATCGGAAATTGAAATATTTAACAGGATCCTAATGGGTAAGTAACAGGCTTAGCTTCCGCAGTAAAAATTTGATATTGTGTTATTCCACATTAAAAATGTAATAAGGCTACGCTCATGAAAATTGAATATAATAAATGTTATGTTTTTTTTTTATTTACTAGGTAGGCATACTCATTATAAGGTAAACTGAACATATCTTAGTCTACCATGGCGCTCTTCGCAGCTGGCAAATAGACCAGAATATTTTGGCATAAATTAAGTCAATCCTCTAAACTTATTTAATCTGGGACAGGGTGTCAAAAAAGTTTAAGCTATGACCAACAAACTTGACAACTTTTCCTTTCCTACGTCAACATCAATGTTACCATGGCAACCGAGTTTCGACAGCTATGTTTTTCAAAATCTGGTATTTTCCTTTGAAGAAAGATACATATTTCTATTTCTACTTTTCAGATTATAGAATTACAATAAAATTAGCAATATTTTATCAAATTAATTATTAGGCTATTTAGTGACTGATTTGAGAAAAAAACTCGAATGTACAATCACCAAATAGCAGATGCTAGGTTCAGTTTTTAACAGTATGAATTTCTCTCGGAATTTCACAATTGGCGGATTTTTTTGCTCCAAACCATCCTTTTATACATCAAGAAATGGAACAAATTCAGTTAATTCAGAATGGCGGATTCAAGGTGGTGGATGGTTCCAGTTTACTTTGAGAGGAAAAATTAATGGAATTTGGACTCCGCCAATAAACTCAACAAAATGACGTAATAATGACATACTACGCCATTGTGTCAATCAAGTTATTCCTGGATGGAAGAAATAATGATTACCGTAAAATTCCGAAAATAAACCCCTTCATGTATAAGCCCCTCCAAATATAAGCCCCTCAAACCGGTAACGTAAAAAACCCTCCGTTAAATCGCCCCTCCGAATATAAGCACCCCGGGGGCTTGTAATTGGAAAATTGCCCTCAAATACAAAGTAAAACAAAGCAAAAACGGTAAATTTACTTCCAACTATAAGGCTAGCCCAATTGATTTTGAGACGCAAATTTCCCTCCGTAGATAAGCCCCTCCGAAAATAAGCCTCTCCAAAACTAAGCCCCTCAAAAAGGGGCCGTTGAAAAATATAAGCCCCGGGGTTTATTTTCGGAATTTTACGGTATATAATCTGTGTAATTTTGGTAGCCGTATTATGAGCAATTTTGAAGTTATAGAGAGGTTGGCTCAGAACCCCCTTCCCGGTCGCAGGAAGCAAAAAATGCCCGGTCTGAATAAGGAACAATGGGATTTTCTTCAACAGAAGTAAGGGAATAATATTTCCTGGATGAAGGAAGACACAAATTTCTTGTGGCCTGGCCGTCCTTCCACGACTTTTACGTAGTCAATTTGGTCAAGCTATTGTGTGTGTTTTTTTTCCTGGCTCTAATATACATTTTATCCCGCTGCGGTTGTTTTCAAAATCTTTTTTTCAGCCTGCCCATCGACCTATTCTATATTTGCTTTGAGTGAATTGGCCCCCGATGGCAAAGGCCGTTCAATATTCAGGTGACTCAGGTTAAGTTGGATAAGACTTCAGTGGTTCACGCACTAATTATTGCGGAGATGCAATTAAAAATAACAAAAAAGATATATATATGTTTACTCTTACAAATGAACAGGATAGAAGTTAATAGAGTTGCAACTCGGAGTTTCACGCACTAAGCAATCAATCAATCACAGAACGCGCTTCTCCAACCGTCCATGAATTTCAAATTTCCACCTTAAAACCAAAATCTGCTTTCAGAATTTTTAGTGTGATGAACACTTAGTGGGTGAAACTCCGACTTACAACTTCATTTACTTCTATTCTTTTCATCTGTATTTCGCTCTGCATATGTTTATGCATTGAGCACTCCTAGGATAAGTGAAGCTATATAGTTTTTTTTTTTCGTAAATGTTTTTGTCCATTTTATATTTAGTCTTATTAACTAATCCTTGCCATAAATTATTGTAATCAGCAAGAGTCAAATTAAGAAAGAATCTACAGAGATAGTTTTTCCTTTCCATGTCTGTTTTGTAGTTGTTGCTTCTTTTCCACAAAATAAGAAACAAAAAAAAAACCGTTGTTTGAAATGAAGTGGAGAGTGTTCATTGGTGCATTTCTAACTTTTACAATTCGAACAACAACATTCAATATCCAAGGCAGTGTAGTAATTAGAACGCGCCTTTGCACTGATTTATGACTGATACGTTTTACTAACATAGCTGTTTCTGTCTAGGGAAATGTCAATGAATCATTATTCATGCTAGCTATAACAATAATGTGTTTGCCAAACAGCAGAAAATTAACCAATGAAGATGATTATATATACACCTATCGCTCGAGATTTTAAATAAATCTGCCGAAAGACGCCAAATTTTTTAAGGCTTTTTTTTCTGATATTTACAATACAATACGCAGAAATCAACCCAGAGTCGTGAATAAACAAGTGGCAGCAACAAAACAGGTTCAACAAGAATTAATAGAAGAGGGGTGAAGATAAATACTGGTGCTTCTAATGCAAGGCATAAGCTTAAAACACTGGCTTGAAATCACACGCGATTCGGGAAGATTCAAGGCAGGGTCACCTGATTTACTTGGGAACTTTCACTGTCTCACTGTTCTGGTGACAAAGCCTAAATGAATTAACCAGAAAGTCCACATTTAAGATAACGATTATTAGGTTAATAAAAAAAATATGTTCCAAGAATGTCTGACTCAGACTATCTTAATCAAAAAGCTTAGTAACGCACTCCAAACCACCACTGAGTTGTCGAATCATTGCTCGATACACAAGTGTGAAGCGTATTAACCGTTTCATACCATCCGAAGTTATCCTCGCCTCGTCTTGACTTCACTGCACCTACGGATAGCCTGGTACACTGACATCCTTTCCTTGGACCGTAATACGAATCAGTGTGCGCATGCCAAAAATCCCTTTGGACGAAGTGAGCCGTGCAGCTAGTACAGTTATATCCTCGTACGCTAATAAATTCATATTTCTTGCACCCATCAAAATTCAAGCGCATAACATCGATATCGGTTAACTTGGCCCTCAAGTAATCACTGTATTTAAGTTCGTCAGTGTTAAAATTGCACGTTGCTCGCACGTGCGTTGAGCGGCTTGCTATGGCATTCATAAGCGGCCAAGATAAACGAAACTTGTTCCATGAAAAGGCGTCCTGATTTACCGGATAATGTTTGTAAAATGCTTTGTCCGCAAATTCGTTATTATTTCGAAGCGTAAAAGATTCAATCAAAGTCCAAATGAACCCTTTTTCAGAGATGGCATCACAGAAGACCTCGTATATGGACCTATTCGCTGGGTCAAACAGTTCGTAGACTCCAGCTTGGTTTCCTTCGTTTCTCTGCAGCTGCTCTGTGCAAGATACTGCTCTTAGTTTTTGGCAATACCTGCCGTAATATCCCACTGCGCATGTGCAGTTGAACTTGTTTTTAGCGTTTTCACGTAACTCAGTGCAGGTGCCCCCATTGGCACATGGATTCTGATTACAGCACAGGTTAAAGAGTGGTTGCTCTTTGCAAGCCTTGTTTGCAAATGTCTACAGGACAACAGGAGAGCATGTTAAAAGTTCATGAACGAATAATCGTTATGCATTATATTATAATGTTATTTGCTAGAACCTCTCTTTTTATAGTGTGCTTTATGAATATTTCCCACTTATTTTTTAATGGAGCTGAGCTTTTAGGTTTGCCAACTCCCAAGCAAACTCCGAGATATTTACTCTATTAAACCAATTCCTTGCCTTACAAACTGTCAACAACATGGGCATGTTTTGTAAAGAGCTTAGTGCTTAGAGCGTTATTGCTTTGCGTAAACAAGTCTCTTGTCTCAAAATAGGAAAGGAAACACGGGAGCCATTTGAAATGAGTTACAGATATTGTTCATGCATGCAAAATTTCTAGGATTCGAACAGACTGCACCTATAAGGGGAAGGGTAACCAAAAGTTCTTAATTTCAAACGAGAGACCATAGTCTCGGAAGAAACAAAGATGCTTAAATTTAAGGGGAAGGACTTTAAATCAGGGGCACCCAACGTCAATTTTCGGAAAATATCTGTTCGGAAGACGATTTGAGATCTAGAGTTTTCGGAACATTTGTTGTAAAATTTCTTGCTTGTCTGTCTCTCCTAGGTTCTTCGAATATGTAAAAAAAAATGGTATAATTGCCCATTTTTAACGGATTTTTACCCTAAAAAGGTCACCTGGCTGAAATTTTCGAAAAGGTAAGTTTTGATCCCTATAATTTTCGGATCAAGAGACTTTCAGTTAGGAAATCCGAACAGATGAAAAATTTTTAGTGGATAAAAGTATCCCTATATCTACCATTTAAATACTAAAACACGTTTAACAATGCTATATTTAAGTGGTTTTGAACTATATTCTCGTTGGGTGCCCCTGTTTAAATCACCACATTCTTAAAAGAGAGCAACAAGAAAACAGAATATCTCTTTGAGATGCATTAATTTACCAGTATTTCAAAACGTCAACCTTCCAAAACCGTGCAAAGCCATTTCGATCTATCAAAATATTGGAACCTGTTTTATTGACTATTTGACTAGAGGAAAATGATGAAAGCCGAAATGCAATGATTACTCTCATGTCTACCTTTAGCAAAGTGGGAGACATATTTTAGATTCAACGGTTACCTGGTTGACGTATTCTCTATTCATATCGTAGTACGTGTATCCCTTTTCCTCCAGAAAGTCTTCAGGAGCAGAAAACCTGTCTTCTTCCAGCAACTCACATCGATTTTGTGTTATTTGGTACGCCTGGCATTTACATTTCTCCTCAAAGCATTTTACATGACAGTCGTACGCTTTCGACGGCGTATAATTTTTAAAGCTGTGTCCTTGCATAGCACGATGATTTATACCCACTTTACTAATGCTTCCTCTACTTTCTTCGCATCGTCTCTCTGCGGCCAATTTCAAACAGTAGACATAAAAAAATATCGAAACGAAAAGAAAATAGTTCGCCAGTGTCATGCTAACTTAAGAAAAGGATTAGAGTACTTCTAACGAGAGTTGAAATTTCCTTCCAATTAAGCGATCTGTTCAAAATAAAGAACGTTTTCGCAAATGAAATTTGCTTTGTATATGGAAAGGAGATTTAATGTACGTGAAGATATTTATGGAAATAAGCATTTACACAGCTTAGCTAGTGACAAATTGTTTCAACAAATCAGTTTTGTCAGTTGTATTTGTCATTTCTCTTAATCAGCTTTCTAGCGACTGGGACTCTAGGATAGCGAATCCTCATCACCCAGATTAATTTTGACGATGCATTTAATGCTTATTTGCCGGCTACTGCACGTAATTAAAAACCCAGACATTAATTTATGAGATACGCTAAATATAATTATATAGCGATTGTTGTTCCAATGCCAATTTTGTTCACGCTTATCAAAAATTTGACTGCTATTGAACAACCAACAGCAGAAGATTAACAATTGACTTCATCTGTAGGAGGATAAATTTGATTTTGGTAAGTCATTTCATATGTGATAAAATGGTCCAGGATGCCATAAGAAGGTACGATTAGTTGAGTGAGAGTTAACGAAATACTTGTAGCTGTCTTGGACAGTTGGCAATTTTTAAATACAAAATATACATAAATATGTAAAAAACAAACAAAATAAATACCGAATAACCTTGATTGTACTCGCCACCAGTGTTAGGAAAATATAATCATCTTTTTTGGAAAAAGTACAAATTTAACTCCTCTATAGGAACGATATCAATTATTTGCCATATAACTAAAGATCGTGTGGGAACTAAACGTACTTTAAATTAAATTTTACGACTATCTTACTCAATCAGGTGCTCTGGTTATCAATATCGGCTGTGTAAACTACCTTTACATTAAATAGAAATGCAAAGTGTATCGAAATAATTCAATTTCACGCCAAAATATCTGGTTTCAAAATCCTGCATGTAATACTCTAATCAAATATAGTAAAAAGCGTTGTTTCTCTAGATCGTATGGGCAACGGGGTCTATAAATTTCATGCAGGGGGCTTCAAATTAGATTCAAACGATAACGTTAAGGTTTTATTTTGTTTACTGAAAGAACACATTGCTATTATAAGAACTTCTTCGAAAACAAACTGTTTTAACCTATCGAAATTAGATTATTAGATTATTTGTCACCATTTTTTAAGTATTTTTTAGTCAAATAGACCAGACCGTTTTGACAGAAACTCAAGCTTAACCTTTAAAGGTTAACGAGAATTTGTCTCTTAGTTTTCTTTATTTGCCACACAGATAATAAGAATAACAAACTAAGATACAAAAATGGAGAGAACAATGGCGATTAGGCCTTGAATTATTTAATTTTTGCACAGCTATATACCTGACTAGCATTTCAGTTCTATTTTGATTGCTTTTGTTTGACATTTTCTCACTTTTCACGTTTTAAAAGCATTATTCGAATTCTATAGAAAGGAAATTCTCCGGGGCCGTTCTTGAAGCTGCTGAAACACCCACCGTACTAATTTTATCACTGGTTGACAATTCGATCTTGCAGCACTCGAATTTCTAACTAGTGACAAAACACTGCTGTTCGTGTTTTAAACATTACATTAATAATATATAGCAGGCATATTATTAAATCTAATATAAGCTGATATAGTACTGAATTTTGAAACAATGCGCAAGGAATTCACCATGTTCCGCATACGATCCTTTTTGAAACATCTCTGCTTACATTGTATATTACAGGGCGGACGTATCACGGGATAAATTACAACCAGTTATGTTGCTGTGACGCGGCTTATATCAATATCCTTTTTGAATTTTTTGAAATTAAAGTTAATTAACACAGGAGAAATCAAACGCAGAAGTGAAATATTGATAACAGGAGCTCCTGCGTGGCTAACACTGTCCCCCCAGTCGTAAAATTTACTATTTACTTTTACTAGTTTCTGAAGCGTCTTTAGTTCTGAAAGATAATAAAATTGATATCTTCGGGTGCCATTCGAATTGATTTTTTTCCTAGAGATACTTCGAGTACTTTCAATGTGATTATTTATTTACTGAATTATTGAAATATGTTTTTAATAAATATAATTATATTTCTATTTAACATTAAAAAAATTGCCAAACATCAAATACGGCTGGAAATATTTCTTAAACTGTCATTTCAGCAATAATCGTGCTCTCTTTTCGCGCTCTTGACCATTTTACCACATTTGAAATGGCTTTACAAGATACGGTATATGCTTCATTTATCTTGCGACAGGTGAAGTCAGTTTTGTTGGGTGTAAGTAGACAATTTTTTCATTAATGTGAAGGATATTGACTTTTCGCTCAACATTCGCCAATTATGTTCAGCGTATCTCATAAATTAATGTCTTAGTGCGTTTTTAATAAATGCAATCTGAAAAATCTGACAATGATTCTTTATCCTGGAATCCCAATCACTAGAACGCCGACTGGGAGAAATGACAACCGCAAACTGAGTTGGTGATTTGTCCAAACAGTTTACCATTTAGCTAGAGAAGACTGCTTCATAACTGATATATGCTTGTATAACATGACATTTCCCTTTCTTATACAAATCACGTTTCATTTGTCAAAACTCCCTTTTATTCTAAACAGATTGTCTATTTGATAGGAAATTTACCTCTTGGAAGAATATTCATTTCCATAGTGAACGTTACAACTATGTCACTAGCGAACTATTTCCTTATTGTTTCTATATTTTTTGATATCTACACTTTGAAATTGGACGCAGACTGTCAGAGCAGATGCGAACAAAGCAGAGGACGTATTGCCGAAGTGAATTTGAAACATCATGCTATGCAAGGACACAGCTTTAAAAATTATATACTGTCCAAAAAGTATGACTGTCATGTAAAATGCTTCGAAGAGAGATGCAAGTGCCAAGCGTACCAAATAAGACAAAATCGATGTGAGTTGCTGAACGAAGACAGATTTCCTGCTCCTGAAGACTTCCATGAGAAAAAGGAATACACTTACTATGAAGTGAATAGAGAATACGTCAACCACCAGGTAACTTATGAGTTCTGTCAATCTTATGAAAATAGAAAGAAAAAAAGGGAGACAGTAACATAGTGGCGTGTTCCGTCGAGATTTCATTTCGGCTTTATTCATTTTTACCTTGTCAATAAAACAAGATTCCAGTCTGAAAAATTTTGGATGTATGAACAATATCTGGTACTCACTTAAATAACTCCTCTGTTCACTTTCTTGTTTCGGGAAAAGAGGCTTCTTGTTTCTACAAAACAAAAAAGAAGGAAAAGAATCTTTCGTCATTTTTATTTTGCTTGAAGCATGGAATGAATAAAAGAGGAACTCTGAGCGTCGAACAGTCTTCACAACCTATGCATATATTCTTCATGGTTTACAAAGCAGTGAATTTAGTTTAGTACAGCAAATATTTTGGAGTTTGCATGCGTGTGAAAATAGGAAAACCTAAAAGCGGAGCTTCCATCTGAAAATATGTAAAATATTAATTGTACACATACAAAGGAGAGGGTCGCGTAAATCATAATATTATCAATATGTACACTTTTAAGATATTCTCCCCTCGCACTATTAGGCATTTGCAAAGAGTGCTGAAAAAGAGGAACCATGCATTAACCAGTGCTGCAATCAGAATCCATGTGCTCACGGAGGCACCTGCACTGAATTATGTGCAGACGCCGATCACAAGTTCAACTGTACATGCGCAGTGGGATATTACGGCAGATTTTGTCAAAAACGAAGAGCAACATCTTGCAAAGAGCAACTATGGAAAAACGAAGGGAGCAAGTCTGGAGTGTATCAACTGTTTGACCCAACGACTAAGACCATGTACGAGGTCTTCTGTGATGCCATCTCTGAAGAAGGATTCATTTGGACGCTTATCGAATCTTTCAGCCGTCGCAATAAAAATGAATTTGAGGACAAAGTATTTTTTAAAGACTATCCAAAAATCAGGAAGCTTTTACATGGGGCAAGTTTCGTCTATCTCTGCTACGTATGACAGCCACAGCAAACCGGTCAACGCATGTGCGAGCAACGTGCAACTTTAACACTGAAGAACTTCAATATAAAGATTACTTTAGGGCCAAGTTGAGTGATATCGATGTCCTGCGCCTGAGGTCTGAAGGATGCAAAACAGTCGAATTCATTAACATCAGAAGATATAACTGCACTGGCTGCACGGCTTTCTTCTTCCAAAAGGACGGTTATCATGTGCATACTGATTCGTATTGGGCTCCGGTGGTAAAGTGCCAGTTTACCAGCGCATCTGCAGATGCAGTGAAGTCCCCAGGAGGCGAAGATGACTTCGGATGTTATAAAACAGTCAATCCGGTTCACAAATGTGTATCGAGTGATGATTAGACCACTCAGTGGTGGTTTGGAGTGCGTTACTAGTCTCTTTGCTTGACCCTATTTAGACCGATATTATTTTATGCTAAGTGTGATCCGGGGCGGAGTCTCTATAACTTGAAAACCACTCGCGATACGGGCTCTAATATTCCTCAGAATAATGCACTCATCATTTCCAAAATCTAAGCAAAACGTGACTGACGTAATGACGTGCACCGTAATTTGACGCCATTTAATGACCTCCTAACCCTAGAAATTGAAGCAAGTAAACCAAGACGCTGTGGGAGCATATATTTGGGCGTCGATGTACTACGCGTGTGTGATTTTTTTTTGTATGTATTTAATAGGGATGTGTGAGTAGTGCAGTAGCGTTGTATATTTTAGGGGTTGGTTGAGATGCGTAAAGTGGAAGGCGTGGAGTCATATTAGACGTGAATTGGTGATATAATGACTGTAGTTTGTTAATCAGTGAAAATTGTTTCTCCTAGAATTGTATATGAAGCAACAAAAAATAATTACTGTGGGAGATAAAAGTGATTCTAGGTGTTTTAGTGAGGTGGCTGTGGAAGTGCTAATTTGGTTATGAAGGAGTGATGTAGTTACAGTGTGTTGAAATGAAGTGGGGGTTGTGAAAAGTCTTACCAATAATCGAAAACATACTTGTACTTATTTCAGACGTTGTTAGGCTTCCTGTTTAGGATTGTTTTTCGCTGAATTTTGATAATATTTGTATAAAGAGAACATGGATAAGGCCAAAAGTTCATTTTAAATAGAGAAGGGGGTATGAAGATGTTGAGGCGGGGCAGTGAAATATTGTGCTCAGGGGCTTCAAAAAATCGGTGAGGTCAAGGGAAGAACGTCAAATCTGGCTATAGAACTAAGGGACTAATTACTCTTTACTTTTTACAATATCTGCCAAAAAAACCCTCAGAGCATGTACAGTTGAACTTTTGTTCGGCTACATCACATAGGTGTGTGCAGGTCCCTCCGTGAGTACATGGATTTTGATTGCAGCAATGGTTAATGGAAAGTTGCCCTTTGCAGGCCTCTTTTGTAGATGCCTAATAGAAGTACAACAAGGGAAAGGTGTGTTATAAGTAAGTGCAGGTAGAAACTGTAATTATTATGATAAATGAATAGTAATAGTTTGACAATTTTCGCTCATCTTATTAATAAATTTGCTAGTCAAAGTTTTAAAAGGGTAAAGGCTTATTTCATTGTGGAAAGTGCACTTAGCTTATCCATGCTACAGGCACTCATTTCTGCGACGGTCTTAAGTTGTTGCTTTATTATCAGTATCATTATGGGAGCTCCACTTTTAGGTTTGCCAAAATCTTGATTTTTTAACGTAGCAAAGTTAAAATCAAAATGCGCCCACTCTTCCCACACTATCAGAAGCACCACATGTTTGATGGTGGGATATATTTTCTTGTAAGCCTGAGAAAAAATGGAAGCAAACTAAAAATGTTGCAGTGTAAACAGAGGCAATCGGCTTTCGCATCCGTCAATTGTTCCCAAAGAAGATGTGGCTGTTTAAGTCAGCTTCTTATAACTAAATAAAATTAATATAAGCACACACACACATGCAAATCCGAAATATGTACTCTCCGGCCTAAAACAATCCTTTTTTTATAAACTGACAGTGCCAAGAATAAAAAAGTATCTATGAAGGTATTGTTTCCTTTCCGTTGGTTTTTCTTGTTTATAAAATACGAGAAGAGGCTAAACAAGGAAGTTCTTGAAATGACTGAGTAGAGATGGTTGGTGAATTACCAACTTTGGCAATTCGTAAAACAACTGCACCATGTGAAGAACTGTAAGCCTCGTATGTCCAAAACAAGGACGATGTAATTAATAATTAACAAATTGAACGCACTTTTTGAGAGACACACAAAATTTGAAAACATGTCCTTTACGATGGGAAAAAGATGAGTATGAGAACTGAGGTGCGTGTTGAACAATTAAGTGTTAGCCTATCAAAACAATGAGGTCCTGACAAAACGCGATCATGGCAACCTCAAGGCGACTCTCAATCCTTTCATTTGTTTTGGCAAAGGTGGAAACGCTAATAGCCTAAGGCCCCTAATTTACTTGTTTTTGGTGCACTTTAATGAAAGTCGTTACGATTTATTGGTTACCTGGTTGACGTATCCTCTACTCATATCAAAATAAACGTATCCATCTGCTTCGACAAAGTGTTCGGGGGCAAAAAATCTGTGTTCATCCAGCAATTCGCACTGATTTTTTCCTATTTGGTACGCCTGGCATTTACATTTCTCTTCGAAGCATTTTACATGACAGGCATACGCTTTCGACAGCGTATAATTTTTGAAGCTGTGTCCCTGTATAGCACGATGTTTCATACCCGTTTCAGCAATACTTCCTCTGCTTTGTTCGCATCTTCTCTGACAGCCTGTGACTGTTAATTTCAAACTACAGACATCAAATAATATTAAAACGAAAAGAAAGTTGTTCATCAGCGTTATTGTTTCAACGCAAGGTATAGAATCCAGTATTCCTTCCAGGGATATATACCATATATGCTTGGTATTTAAAAACAACGAACACATCAACGACGTATGTAACAAAGCTAGTCAAAGGGTTGGGGTAATTATGAGATTGAGAAATCTAATTCCTACCACGGCAAAGTTAGTACTTTTTAAATCAGCTATCTTGCAATACTTAACATACTGCCACCTTGTTTGGCATTTTTGTAGGGCAAGCGATACTCGTAGACTCGAAAGAATTCAGGAACGAGGACTTAGGGCTGTGTATAAGGACACTAAGTCCAGTTATCATCAGTTATTGAATAGGGCTAATTTGCCAATACTGTTGAATAGACGTCTTCAAGACATATGCGTCCTAATGTACAAGGTTAAACACACTAAAATGTGTTCCGAAGCCATCACCAACATTTTTAAACCTCGTGGTTCATGCTACAGTTTAAGAAATTCAGACTTTCTTTTACCCAGGTTTAACACAGTTTCATTTGGTAAGCATTCCCTTCGATATTTAGGTCCCATGGAGCAAGCTGGACAAAAATGATAAAACGTGTAAATCATTAAGTGATTTTAGAAACCGAATGCGTAATACGGATATGACATCTCTTATTGATGATGGATGCAAAGGATGTCTTCTGTGTGATACTTGATGTCTCATCGGAAACAATTTTAGCATTTTAGTACTCAGCTTTAGTATTTTAGCTAACAATTTGTAACATATTGTACGGATTTTTTTTATGTACTTAATTATTGTATCTATTATATTTTAACTGTAGGTGTCCCCTATTAGTAGAGGGCCTGCCCCTCGGCTAGTTTTTCTTTCTTGACGCATAAATAAAGTTTCTATCTATCTAACATAAAAATTTATGTAATAAATGTTTACATTTACTAGAAAATGGCATTAGTTTAACCAAATGTCGAGTGCCAAATTATTTAAACAACTCACTACTCAGTTTGCACTTGTTACTTCTAGGAAAGCCCTTGTAACTGGGAATCTATAAGGATACGGAATCGGGACGCTTCCTTTTTCTTTTAATGTTTCTTTACCGTTTTACTTACAAGTATGTGACTAAAACACGCATCGACCTAGATTTACAAGATGGGCTCGGTTTTAATTACATGTTTCACAAATGTCAATGATACTGATTTTAATTTACGCCAACCTAAGATGTGTTTGCCAACACCCAATCCATCAAAAAATTGAATTAATATAGTGAAACACCTGTCGCAAGAGATAAGATCTGTTGAAAGACGCCAATTCATTTAAAACTTGTTTTTTTTTTCTGAGATTTACAATAAAATACGCAAAAATAAACCCATATAGGTGAATCCATAAGTGGCAGGCGCATTAAAACTCGTCTAATCCAAGAAAAGCCTCAAGGTTTCCGGGTGCTGCACAGCAAGACCAGAGCACTGAGAAAGAAAGCTTGGAATCCAGTGCAACATGCATAAGTCAGGTGGGATAAAGGAGGATCCACCTGGAAAGCCTTGCATTATCCGGGAACTACTCCTTTACAGTTGTGGTAATAAAGAAAAAACTCAAAAGTTCCAAGGTCTACATTTAAGATAGTTGAAAATGTTCAGAGAATGTCTGCGCTGGATTGATCTTTATCAAAGAGCGTAGTATTGTACCCCGAACCACCACTGTGTAGTAGAATCATTACTTTCTACACATCTGTGAACCAGATTTCTTGCTTTATACCATCCAAAGTTATCTTCGCCTCCCGGGAACTTCACTGCACCCTCGGAAAGACTGGTACAGGGACATCCTCGGTCATTCGAATCACTGTGCGCATGCCAATAATCCCTCTGGACGAAATGTGCCGTGTCGTTAGTACAGTTATTTCCGTGGACGCTAATAAATTCCAATTTTTTGCAAGTACCTAAACTGGAGCGCATAAGATCGATATCGCCTAACTTGGCCCTTAAGTAATCTTCGTATTTAAGTTCTTCAGTGTTAAAGTTGCAGGTTGCTCGCACGTGCGTTGAGCGTTTTACTGTGGCATTCATACGTGGCAAAGATAAACGAAACTTGTTCCATGTAAAGGCTTCCTGGTTTAAGGGATGGTCTTCCTAAAATGCCTTATCCTTAAACTCATCATTATAGCGAAAGCTGAAAGATTCGATCAGAGTCAAAACGAATCCCTTT